AGGAAGGTGCTGAAATTTCATTTATGTGGGAAAAATCTGTTATTCCCATATTTATAAATGTAGAATCAAGTCTAGGAGGATCCCTAAGACAATGAGACCTGTAGTGATCTCTGCTGAAGAGAACTCGTGGTTTAGGGCCAGTGGGATAAAAAACTTCAGTTTTCCTTCTGTAGCTTTAAAATTTTTATTATGTGCCTATATTACCTGTTCAAAAAATGTTACAAATATTCAGGAGTTTAGAAATAAAAGCCCAATTACCACTAATGAATAAGAAAAACTGTGTTACAGAGAAGTTTGTTATTAGATGAACCTTTTATATAACCATATTATGATTACTGAATTCTTGTAACTTTAGGAAAGAAAGTGAGTTTTCAAAACAAAATACTAAAATACTGCAGTTTATGAAAATCTGCCTCCTTTTAGATCAGACCTTTCAATAGACATGTAGTTCTTTTAAGTCATAATTCAAAATTATGATTTTAAAAATCAGTATTTTATTTTTTCTCTTTTGAGACGGAGTCTTGTTCCGTCATCCAGGCTGGAGTGTAGTGGTGTCATCTCGCCTCACTGCAACCTCTGCCTCCTGGGTTCAAGTGATTCTCTTGCCTCAGCCTCCTGAGTAGCTGGGACTACAGGCGCACACCACCACACCAGCTAATTTTTTGTATTTTTTTGTAGACACGGGGTTTCACCATGTTGGCCAGACTGGTCTCGAACTCCTGACCTCAGGTGATCTGCCTGCCTCAGCCTCTGATTGCTGGGATTACAGGCATGTGCTGCTGTGCCCAACCAAATTCAGTATTTTAATTTCTATACCTCCACATTTCATATTTTGCTATACCTGAGCATAGAATCCAGGGTGAGGTATAACAAGGTTTTCATAAGAAACTGAAGTAAATCTGAGATGAATCTAAGAGATGACACAGTGCTATTCTCAATCAGTGATTAGAACTTACAGCTTTAAAAAGCAAAGATGCCTCATACTAACAAATAAAATGCAGTACCTTCAAATAAATGACAGCATCAGTACCCACTCCTTCCATGGAATACAGTTTCAGATCTCCTTGAAAATATCTAGCATATAGACGGGAAATTGGCAAACCATACCCAAATCCAGCCTATTGAGAAAAGAAAATTAATACAGTGAGACAGGCACAAATGCTAACACATTTTATATGATGACCATTTAGAGGTTAAAATAAATTCTTGATTCAGATTTAAATCAAAGAAATTACTCAGTCAACCTTTACAATGATGTATATCCTCTTCTATGGCAAACAATCTCTTTATTTTCATCCTGCAAAAACACATCTTATATGTTTGGATAATAATAGAAATATTCTAAATGCTTTTTTAGCGTTTTAAAGCAACATTTTAGCATTTATTAAAAGCACATTCTAAGGCCGGGCATGGTGGCTCACACCTGTAATTCCAGCACTTTGGGTGGTTGACGCAGGTGTATCACTTAAGGTCAGGAATTTGTGATCAGCCTGGCCAACATGGCGAAACCCCATCTCTACTAAAAATACAAAAATTAGCCAGGCGTGGTGGTGCACACCTGTAATCCCAGCTACTTGGGAGGCTATGGCAGGAGAATGGCTTGAACCTGGGAGGTGGAGGTTGCAGCAAGCTGAGATGGCGCCACTGCACTCCAGCCTGGACAATAGAGCGAGACTCCATCTCCAAAAAAAAAAAAAAAAAAACACATTCCAAATCAAGTGGAATGTGACCTGATGACTAAGCCACATTGTTTCAAAGTTCCATGATCAGATTTCCTTGCTCTTGGAAGTGAAAATTAACAGTACAGTGCTGAGTTTGAATCTAAAAGTAATAAGATGGAAACATGGAAAGGAAAACAATTTTCTGAGAAGCAACTTCTAAGGTTGTGGGAAGGCGAAAATACTTTGGTATATTGTAGTTCAGATACTTTTTTTTCTTTTCCTTTGAGGTGGAGTTTTGCTCTTGTTGCCCAGGCTGGAGTGCAATGGTGTGATCTTGGCTCACCACAACCTCTGCCTCCCAGGTTCAAGCGATTCTCCTGCCTCAGCCTCCTGAGTAGCTGGGATTACAGGCATGCGCCACCACGCCCAGCTAATTTTGTATTTTTAGTAGAGACAGGGTTTCTCCATGTTGGTCAGGCTGGTCTCCAACTCCTGACCTCAGGTGATCTGCCAGCCTTGGCCTCCCAAAGTACTGGGATTACAGATGTGAGCCACTGCATCCGGCCTATAGTTCAGATATTTTTAGGGATTAAAAAAATTTTCAGTGCTATCCTATATCTCTATGTCATGGAACCCTGATTGTCAATAACAGGTGTCCTAGGTGGGGAAAAAAAAAAAAAAAAAAAAAAAAAAAAAAAAAAAAAAAAAAAAAAAAAAAAAGGTCTCGGGTATGGACAAGAACAATAAGAATTGAAAGTAAATGTAATACTGTTTGTGGTGGTCGTGGGGCAGGGTGGGGAAGGAGGTGCTGTAACACCAAGCTTCCTCACTTCTGGTTAAATCTATTAACAAGGTTAAGGAAGGAAACCAGGGAAATCATGTGCACAGTTGCATCAGCCTTAGGCTCAGAGAGACCCAAGTTGAAATCCACTTTCTGTGTCACTCCGAGCAGCTTACTCAACCTCTTTGAGACCATTTTTTCATCTGAACATATAATACAAAGCTGACCTCAGAGCTGCTATAAGGATTAAATGATATAACAAATATAAAATCTTGGCACAGTGCCTAACACAGTAAAACTAAATAAGTGGAAGCTGGTACTATGGATAGTAAGGGCAGCAATTTTATGAAGTTACATTGATTTCTGACATTTTCTAACATCTCTCCTTGATACCTTCCCTCAGGGTAGGGTCTAACTGAAAGGGCAGGGGGTGAAAGAAGGTACCCCATCATTTAAGGGCTTTAGGACTAGCTGAATATGGCCAATAGTGAAGATGAGATATCTATAGTAGTGACGCAGGTAACCACAGCAAAGAAACCAGCTCACTCTAGGAGGAGACGTGAGGAAATCTGCCTCCTGTGTTCAAGCAAGGCCCAAAGCCTGCCCTCATGTCCAGCACAGAACAGCCGACAACTCCGAGGCCAATGCAGTTGTGAGTGTAAGCCCAGACTCCCAAAGAATGCAGAGGTGGGGTCTGGACCTCAACCTCAAATTTGCTGAAGTTCAGGAAAAGTTTCCCAGAGTGTCAGAGGATCAACAGGAATTCTCTGGGTGGATATTCTCAAAAAAGAAATGCACGTTTCAAGGCGCAGAGGCGTAAAAGTGTAAGTTGATTGATGAGGAAATTATGTTTTTTAGTGGTACATGTGTATGTGCCCACTTTAAAGCTGAGAACAGTTTTTTTTTCTTTTTCTTTTTTTTTTTTTTTTGAGACAGAATCTCACTCTGTCACCCAGGCTGGAGTGCAGTGGTGTGATCTTGGCTTACTGCAACCTCTACCTCCTGGGTTCAAGCTATTCTCGTGCCTCAGCCTTCTGAACAGCTGGGACTACAGGCATGTGCCACTGCTCCCGACTAATTTTTTTGTGTGTATTTTTAGTAGAGATAGGGTTTCACCATGTTGGTCAGGCTGGTCTCAGACTCCTAACCTCAAGTGATCAGCCCGCCTTGGCCTCCCAAAGTGCTAGGATTACAGGCCAGTTTCTTAACTGGGAGAGCCAGTAGCGGAAGCATTTCTTCAAAAGGAGAGGCCACCTAGTACACTGGAAAGAACACACACATGGCCAGTACCAGCTCTGTGGTTAATTCGCGCAGTGACCTTGGGGAAGGTCATTTCCTCATTTCCTCGTCTATACAATGAGAGTACTCATTCGTAATTTTTAAAGGTCTCTTACAAGTCCCCAGGTTTATTAAGAAAAAAAAAACTATGACATAACAGCTATCCTCAAGATGCTATTTTAAGACCTGGAAGAGACAATCTATATTTCTTTTAAACAACTGGGGAAGGTGCTAGATTTGTCTGTAGTGCCTTTTTCCCTTTTGATGTGTATTTCAATGTATACCACAGCCTAGTCAAGGCAATGCCTCTCAAATGTGATCTTTCGTGAATTTTCTCGACTCCTGTATAAATGATTTCCTGTTTCCAACATGCTGAGTTAACAAACTCTGTCTCAAATAAATGATGCAAAGTCTTTGATTTTATTCTTACAAATAAAATATAATCTTATATGCTTATCAGTCAGGTAGGACTTTAAAATGAAACTTAATATATACCCTGAACCATTTTGCAGACTGATAGATATGTTGCTGTGTTTAATGACAAAGGGTTCAATTGTTGTTTGTCAATTAGAAACACTCAGCAGGGGAAGAAAGTGTGGCCCTACCAGGATCTAAATGCTACCATGGTAACCAGAGGCTTTTCTCACTGCCTTAATAGGGCTGAAGGTTATTTCCAGAGTGAGACAGAAAGGGCTCTGAAAATGCATACACCACCTGTATGTTTCATGCTAATGTTATTTAATATAAAAATTTAGTGTTTTCATAATGTAACATTTTAATTATATAAACAAATTTGACAGTGGAGATTCCCAGGCACTACCGTGATTCGCGCCTCTGTGGTGTGCATGCCAGAGTGCACAGGACCAAGCAGCAGCTATGCATTCGGTACTGTCCCTTTGCTCACCCACTGGCAACTTCCACCCCTTCCAAGGGTAGCACAAAGTGAAAAATGGTGCTCCAGTAGCAGTCTTACCACAATGAGGTACTTTTTCTCTGTGTCTGGGAGTGAGGCACTCAGCTTGGAATGTTTCTTGGACACAAATCAGAGAGGAAATCAAAGTCCAAAGGATTCACAAAGAAAGTAGCCAAGGCAAAACATTCTCCCTCCTTCAAACAGTAATACGGGCAACATTCTAAGTCAACCACACTAATGCAACAACCTGGGGAGAGAGGCAGCTCCCTCCGAGCCCCTTCCCGTGTTTATGATCTTTCCTTCAGCAGCAGTTTCACATGCTTACCAAAGGGGCAGCTCTGGTAGGCTCCAGGCTGGGTCTAGGAGCAGTCGAATACATGTAGTTAAAAAGACGATCTATTTTTCGAAGTGGGACACCACCACCTAGGTCACTGATCTGCAGTGCACAAAATGTTAACAGTCAAAACAAATAAGTCAATCTGTACTTAATAGGAGGTAATGGGTTCATTAAATAAAGTACATCGCAGATTACTCTAAAATGTACAAGGGCTTTGAATCCCCTAGTGACATATGGTTCCTTTGTGAACAGTGTCAAACAAAGGAGTCCGAATGGTACTGTAAGATCTGACAGGCGTGGTGTTGAGGTCTTGTTCAACTCCCTGAATAACAAGGTTCTAATGAAGTTCAAATAAGGTACCTCAAGCCAAGGATCTAGCATAGAACTTACAAAAAGGACACTCAATAAATGTCAATTTTCTTCCCTTTGAGTTTTCAATGTCTAGATACTATTAAATCACAACTGATAATTAAAGTATACATGCACATAAGATAGTTACCTTAATGGATAAGTCTTCTTTACCCAAAGTAACGAGGGTTTTAACAGCAGGGTAGGCCTCTTTTTTATCTTGATAGAGTTCGACTGTTGCTCTCATTGAGTTCTAAAATAATACGATCTTTTTGTTAATCATACTGCTGAATCACAAACCACAATTTTTAAAGAGAAAGAAGTGCAAGATGACTTATACCCAACAATCCTTTTTTGGGGCAAATATTAGTTGGATTTATATGGCATTTTTCCCTCTAAAGAGCTTAGCTAAACATGTGTTCAAGTCAAGGAAAAATTTCCTGACACTTTGTTTTTCACCTAGTTTTAGCCTCATCCAACATGCTAAATATTTATTTTTCCTTCCTTCTTCTTCTTCTTCTTCTTTTTTTTTTTTTTTTTGCTTTAGGGTATTTAAATTATTCAACTCAACCCAGAGGAATGTTTTTATCACATGTAATGAGGCTATGCAGAGGCTGATTTGTGCACTTTAAATCCTATTTATCAGTCTGCATTTATAGAGCACCTTTTCTCTAAAGAAGGCAGAAAAACTGAAAAGATGCATGCTTCCCACAAAAATTAATCATTTGGCTGAAAAACACAGAAGAAATATCGGTTAAAAAGAAATTCTGAAAAAGCCACAGCTGCTGAAGAGAAAGTTCACAATTGAATGCCCATCTCAACCTTAAAGTGTTACATCAGTAACATTCTAATTTTTGGAAGCAAATCAGCATAACTGATTTTTCAGGTGTTCAATTTAGTGTTTCACACATTGGAAGAAATGAAATTTTAGCTCAAATACCTTCTGCCTGTACTACTGCTACTATAAATGTCATTAGCTACTGGTTAACAAAAGCAACAGCTTAAGTTGCAGAGTCTAAAGAATTTGAGGTGGGGGTTGGTTCTTTCGGTCCAGCACATCTAAATCTTTCTCCTCTGCCTCTCTTAGATCTTCTGAATTGATGCAAATATATAAAAGGGTTGCAGGATCTTTCAGGACTGGAACAACTACTAATGTACCAGTGTGGTTAATGTTCAGAAGCATAAATATGTATAAACATATTTTTATTTTGATCTGGCTACCACCAATAAAGCCTTTGCCAGGTTTGGAAATGAAAAAGCATCTCTAATCTCATAACTGAAGAAAAAACAGGTATGGATTTTACATAAAATGACTAAAGTACAATTAAGCTTCAAAATCAATATGTACTAATATTCATGAAAACTATACTGTACACAGCAATTTTTCATCTCACAGTGTACAAATTATAAAACCCACAGGATATTAGAAATAGAATTTTTTATAATGGTTATGCAAAAC